TGAACTGGCTGACGAGCAGAAGCAAGAAGACGAGGTTAAGCAGGAGTTTCCAGAAGGTGAAGTCAAAGCCGATGTAGATGAGGTAAACAGGAGTCCAGGCCAGAATATCAGAGATTCCGAAGGTACCGCTCGGAAATCCAACTGGACAGATCCAGGGTTGAAAGCAGGCAGAATCCAGCAGGAGTCCGAAGAAAGGTCAGGCAAACAGATCAAAATAAGGACAGGCTGGCTCAGAGGTCCAAAGGCAGAAGCTAGTCGGTATCAGGCAATCAGAGCACTCAGGCTATGCTAGATAACTCTTGCCAATGTCTTAAATGTTGTATAAAATGGGGTTTTAAAAAAGTAAAAAAAAAATATACATATATCAGTCTTATGTCAACATTTTATCACCATGTTTACATTTTATCACTTCTGCTCTTTAAAAATGGAAATGTCTTGAGAGCTGTACTGAACAAAATTTCTTTTTGTAGATATATATATCTAATTTCCACAATAACATTTTTAAGCTCCTGGATGAACTATGGAATGACTTGAACCAGTTAAAAATGTAAACAATACCTCTTACGGAACAATATATTTTCTTGCTTGTGGACGCATTATTCCACTGCTTCCAAAAGGAACTCACTTTTGTGTCTCTAAGTGATCTAGACTGTATAGACTTGAACTTTAAATATTTAAAATTAAGGGGTGTTTAATTGCATATTGGAGGTGATCTACAAAGTGTCTTGAGCTAATGTTAGGATGTGAAAACTTTTTTGGTTCTACCATATTAAAATAAGACGATATTGGAAGTTTGTCCATGAAAGGAAGATGAGGTTCTAAGCCATTTCATTGGAGCTGATAATAAGAATTATATTCAATATAATTACTTTAGCTTTATCATATATAGCGCACCTCACTTACATAATATATCTCAAATAACTTAAAACAAACATGAAAAATAAAATATCACATGAATAAAATAGAAAGTTGCCTAATTTGACCCTCTGAACCCAAGTTCATTTAAAGGCTCTGTGATATGTTCTCTGGTAGCTGTTAGTATTATATCTGTTATACACATGCCACAATATTTAGGCACAGCTGTGTTTTTAGTTTTGCTGTAATTGTATAAAGACTCTTTGCCATCCTGTTGCAATACTTCGGGTGGCCCGTGAAGATTGTTGCAGTCTTTTGTTGTGCATGGGTTCTAACAATCAAGAATGGCTACTTGATTTGCAGAGATGGGAAGTAATGAAGTACAAATACTTCGTTACTGTACTCAAGTAGATTTTTCTGATATTTTTACTTTACTTTACTACTTATTTTTATGGCGACTTTTTACTTCTACTCCTTACATTTTTACACAAATATCTATACTTTCTACTCCTTACGTTTTAAAAAATTGGCTCGTTACTTTAGTGTTGAATCATTTCAATGGAGTTACCGTTATTATTTTTTTACGTCATCAATACCAAATTCAATCTAATTGGATGGGAATCTACGTTGCATTTGACGCACCACTACAAGATGAATCGACAGATTCGGCGGTATTCATTCGCGGCAAATCATTGCAGCTTGGTGGCGGTGGCGTTAGCATAGTAGTATGGACGACGAGATGATTGAAAATGAACACAACGGAGATCTAGTCCTATTGGCAGACATCCATTTAAAATGTAGGCAACGGCATGAAAAAAGTGGTTTCTACTTTTACTTTTATACTTTAAGTAAATTTACAAGCCTGTACTTTGTTACTTTTACTTGAGTAAAGAAGTTTAATCAGTACTTCCACTTTTACCAGAGTATTTTTTAACACAAGTATCTGTACTTTTACTCAAGTACGGAAAGTGAGTACTTTTGCCATCTCTGTTGATTTGTATCTGACTTGGAATGTGTTTAGTAGGATGGACCTCCATATTTCTTAAATATGTCAATGGTCCAACTACAGATTTCTCTGGTGCGAACAAACAGAATCGACAGATTCCCTGTATAGGTGTCAAAACGTCTTAAAAAAACGGAACAAAAGTCTGGTTGCTTTCCAATTCAAGCCTGTTTTGTGGTTACCGTGACCCGAATGACTGAGAATTTACACAGGCAGAGTTCACAGCTAATACAAAAAGCGTTTTGAAAATAATGTAAATGAAACTAGGAAACTCAAAAACTAAACTAACAAAATAAAAATGAACAAGATAATAAAAAAAGAAAGTGCTACAATCAAGATAGAGAGCAGCAAAGTGGAAACACCCTGAAGGCCCAAAACTGGCTGTAAATACATAAATTATGTTAACATAAAATTCATGCAAACGAAAATTTTGCAAGCAGTAAAATAACTGCAACTTAGGAAAAGCTGCAAACTAGCTCCACATAGTGGAAGTGCTGCAAACTGCTAAGATGAAATTATCAAGTATATTAACCAGACAATAAGTAAAGACATAAATAGCCTGCTAAGAGAGACTGTTTAAAAAAAAAAAAACATTAAAAGAAATGCCTTTTCTTTCTTCCCTCCAGATGGCATTGATTTTTAGTAATATCTGGTCCAATAAGAGTCAATGATCGTCCCCCTCTGGTGGTCTGAAGACCTTCCAATATGAATTATGTGCTCTGTTCGAAAACCTGGGATGCGTCATAGCGCGGTGCCGAGGTCTGGTCGGATTCCAAGAGTCCTCGTTATGTGGCGTCCTTTTTACCCGATTTGAAGGATGGGTCCGATGTGTCCTCAGTATCCTTGGTTTACCCAGGATTCATTGCGAGACCAAGCAAGCCGGCTGCTCCGTGATCAGAGGAAATGTTACTTGGCACCGAACAGTGGTGAAAATTGGAAGTTCAGTTTAATATAATCCAGTCTGTGAATAGTTTCGTCTGAAATTAATGAAAATAGTTGTGTTAATGGTTATTGAGTCAGATATGTGGCGGTTATGTTTGGTTTATCTAAAGGTTTTTATCTGTTACTGTGTAAATGGGTTTGGCTGGAATTTAAAGACAAATTCTAATATATATCTGCAGAGTGGGAACTATAAATCTGATAGGAGTAAAATTTTTCTATAGCTGTTTTGCACAATATGATTAACTAAGTATTTTTTGTTGTTGAATGTTAGAGATTTTGCAGATATATTTTTATACATACATTGTTTAGATTTACTTACCGGTATATATTTCTACCCCTTTTATAGAATAGAAAATCCCTTTATTGTCCCACAATGGGCAAATATACAGCAGCAGAAAGATTATTGAAATGATCACACAAATGTGGACCTTAGAAAAATGTATAAGAATAACATAATAGGGAAGAGTTAAAATATAAACAATACAATTCTGTAAAGTGTTTTAACAATATAAAACTGGGGAATAAATAACCAATATGCAGCTATGGACATTTTTACAGTGATGGATATCTGAAAATAGCAGCAGCATCAGAGATGTGCAGAATGACAGCAGCAGGTTATTTAACTGACTAAGGTTTCTATCATTACATTTGATTTGATTTGTTCCTGCTCCTGGTGGTTGGCACCTTTATTACACTCTGGATGAGTGTAGTCTTTGTTCACTTTATAATAAAAAATAAATAAACAAAAAGTTTTGAAAACTTGGGTATTCATTCTTTTCCTGCTTTGTGTGTCACGGTTGCTAAGCAACTTTCACGGTTGCTATGCAACAGAGCATACGGTGGTAAAACCCGCTAAAGGGAAGACCTGTTCAATTCACAGCCAAAACACTTCCGGTCTCCTTATTTTCAAGGACTTCGAAGGATCCAGTCTAGGTAGACCGCGTCCTTGGAGGATGCAGCCCAGGATTCAGAACAGAGCCATGGTTTGCATGCAACTTTCTTCCTCTGCATGTGTTTTTATGTGTTTTAATGTTTGGATCATTTATATAATTTCAGTGGGGTTTGTGTTTGCAGGGCATTGCTGCTCTACTGCTCTGTAACTTATGAAATTGCAGATTTTCTTCTTTGCAGCATTTTCTTTTTGCATGTGTTTTTGAGTTGGTGCGTTTATCTGGTTCTTGTCCTTTCTAGTCTAATTTTGTCTTTGCAGTATTTGTATTTGCACGGCATTTACAGCCCTCAGCAACCACAATGATCACTATTATCCCAGACACAGTTAATAGTAACATGACTAATTGGTTAAAACACCAGCAGGGTAATAAAGGTGGAATCCTGTATAGGTCACTCAGTAGTATTGGAGGACAGAAAAAGACCTTATAAGTTTGTTTTAAAAAAAGTTTTTTTCATTGCAAAAGATTTGCAAAAATTGAATTTTCAAAATAGTCACTAATATGGTATGAAAAATCCAGAGAATGCTTTGGTATGAAATTCCTGAAAAGCACTCACACAAAAACCAAATACATTTTTTGTTACAACATAACCTTCGTAAAATTAATGCTGTTAAAGGAAATGGCTATGTTTTTCTTTTTAACTTAGCTTATTCACTTTTTAAATCAACATTTTAAAAGAGCTTTTTCTATTATTTACAAGGCTTATTCAGTTTTTAACTTAATTCTTTATTTTTTACTTAAACTACAGTAGGTATTATATCAAACAGAGTAAGTTACATCTGATTACTGGTGGTATTCTGCGATATACTTACACTCGGCTTTTAGAAAGAGGTGAACCTTGCAGACCCTGCAGGCCACATTTGACCTCAGAATTTTGCCTTGTTGGCTGCAAAGTGGTGTTTATATCTAATTTACCAAAATGGTAACTTGGCTGATAAAGGGTTAAGGATTGCATCTGCATTGTTTTAACATATTGGAAAGTAAGTGGAACATTTGTAACAAACCTGTTCCTTAACAGAAGATACAGGTCTCAACCTATCGTCCTCTTGATAAAGTGTTGCACTGCACTGGAGACACATCTGGGGTGTATCAAGTGATGCAGACGTGTGTAAAGGCCCCTATGTGGCTCAGGCCATGATGAATGCCCTTGGGGGTTCCTGGGTTGCGCCGGTGCATGTTTTGTTTTTCACTTAACCGCACTGATTAAATCTGGAAAGATAGACAGTTACCATGTGTTCCTCACCTGTGGAATTAATTATCTCCACAAAGATAGAGGATCACTCGTCTGGCCTCTCCTCATTTCCAAACAAGTACTCTGTGGCACAACCCCTGCAACAGGATTCTAACTAGGTTAGAGTAAACTTATCACATGTTAGAGATCAGCTTATTACTTTTAGCCATTATCAGTTATTTCCCAAACCTGAAATGTGATTGAATTTTCCTTTTTCAGGAGCCTCCAGGAGTTACTCTTCTTCCAGCAGAATGCCGAGCCAGCTTGAGGGTGCCATGGGTGCACTGATAACTGTTTTCTACAACTACTCTGGTAATGACGGAGATAAGCACAAGCTGAATAAAGGCGAGCTGAAGGAGCTGTTGAACAGCGAGCTCACGGACTTCCTCATGGTAAAGTAAATATTCCCTATTTCGATATATTATGTTGTTTTCTAATCTGTTCTGTTATGATTCATATTCTTGCATTAGGTTTGATAGTTTTAAGTAATAAGAAAAGAAAAAAAAAACAATATGCTTTTTGATTTTTTTTCTACCTTTCTTATTTTTATTGTTTTGTTTTATCCAGTGATCTTGATTGCAGTAACTCGCTTGAGGATATTTTGCACTTTTGAGGAGTTATTGTCTTACCTACTCAAACATTAAATGAAGCAATGACGTTTTCAGATAATTTACCATTCTCACCTTGTGAGAGGAAATTGATTTTCAGCGATTGCTATCCTGCAGTCAGAGAGTACCTGCTGCTCTTACATCATAGCACACTGGCAGAATAAAGGACAGGCAGTAGGAGATAAATAGGGTCATTTGAGATAAGTCCAGACTCTGGGGTTGGGTGATAGCAAGGTGGAAAGCTTGCAATTTCAAATGATTGAAGTCAGAAACGGCCGAGGCATGAACGCTCAGACACCTTCAGATGTGTTTCTGCTTGCTGCTTATCCCCCTCCCATCCACATGGATGGGAAGCCTCAGGTGCTCATAAATCAGTATCATCATCCTCATCATCACAAGCCGCCTCATATCAAATCCAAATATAGGCATCTTTGTGATGTCATCACAGACATGTGAGCCAAAATCACCCCTGAGACATGATGCAACCCGGACAAAAGGTCCACGGTCAGTTTATGCCAAAATAGACGTTTGTTAAACTTAGTAGATCACCTTATATAAAGTACATGACATTTACTACTTAAAATGCTTTTAAGGCATTTAATTTCATTTAATTTTCCACCCTTCTTCAAGCAATGACTTCTCTTCCTGTTGAGATCATCAACACCAGCATTCTCAACTTTGGGGTCCCAACCCTTATATGGGTCGCAAGATGATTTCTGGGGTTTGCCAAATTATTTTGGAAAAAAGTAAATAAAAAAAAAACAATTTAGCTTCTGAGCGGAAATTATAAGAGTGGTGAGTGGTTAGTCTCAAACAGGCATTTTATTACTGAATACCAATTACTGTCGACTGTAACTAGGCTTCAGCAAAATAACGGCAACAAACCTGACTAGTAAGGTAACAGCATTTGAGAGAAAACTGGATGGCGGAAATGTTGAAATGTTTCCAGTGCTGGAGATCTTTTCAGAGATTTATGACATAACCATTCAAACTATGAAGGAATTATTGCCTCTCACATCAGGGGCCTGCTTTAAAGTTTCAATAAGTGTTCCCTAAATTATTACAGGCCGAAAAAATACAACTGGTATAAGTCAAACTTTCACCACCTTCACCGCACATCACCTGTCATCAGAGCTGCAGGACGCCCTGCTGATCTCCCCTCTGATCATACCTTACAGATTGCTAGTTCTCTGCATGTATGCTGGAAGAGTTCTGGTTGTCAGTAGCAACAGAGTATGCAGCACTGTCAAAAGCTGCAACAAATGTGCTGTTTCCATTTGCATCCACATACCGTACCTGTGGATCATCCTGTCAGTAAACAAATCAGAAAACTTTAAATAAACGATCTCTGGTAAAAGTCCAGCCCGTACATCAGGCCCCTGATGGCTATGGGGCCCTAAACAGCAGCTTACTGCACCTATGGCTAAATGAAACTGCAGAACTTAATTTCAAGTAAAAAAAAAAAAACAATTCACTTGACTTTGTTTTCCAAGTATGAAGAGGTTTTGCTTCCCATCCTGGAAGCTTAATTGAGAAAGCTTCCTGGATGGGAAGCAAAACATCTTCCAACTTGGTAAACAAAGTCTATTGAATTGTTGTTTTTTTATAACTATTTTTTAATGACTATGACCTGAATGACTAAGAATCTTCACCAGCACTTTAAATCTTTATTTTCAGCACAGACTAATGTTGTTCATAACCTACTAAAAAGGTTCATATTGTTTCCAGTCTGAGGAAACATGTTGCGACAATTTAAAGTCACCCCAGGCTAACCCCAGGCTCACACCGACTCCGGTCTTACCGTTGCGGTGCGGTGGGTGCGGCGCCGCAGTGATTCCAAGTCATTAAAAAGACGTAAACCTCTCTCACCGGCTGCTGAGCTGTCCGGCTGCGGTTACCGAGACACTCCGGCGCTGCAGAAAATTCCGCAAGAAAGCTATCCTTGCGGCGTGCCGGAGCCCTCCGCAACAAGCTCTCGCAAAAATCCTTTATTTGGGCCGTGTTATCGCGTGAAGTTAGGTGAACTCAAGTGAACTTCTGTTAAATCTCCGGACCTGTTGCCGTAGCCGCACCGCACCGTAGTCAAAAGGGCGGTGTGAGAGGGGGTGTGCGGGAGTTGCGGTCTCCGTCGGCTCGGTAACTGCACCGGAGCCAGTATGAGCAAGGGGTCAACTTTAATCTCTACAGGGGTTCTAAGGGGTCTTAATCCTTGTAAATAATGTATACTTCAAGTAAAAAAAAAATAAAAAAGGCAAAGTTATGTTTGATTACCTAAATGAAATGGCTTGGATCCACCTGTTTGATGCTGTACATTGAACACAACATGCAATATTTGTTCATTATTTTTACATTTCATTATTTTTACACACAACATTTAAATCTGATCTCAGGTTCAGCCTTTATTGCAAACAGGATTTATAAATAGAAATTAATTTCTCTATTGCAGCAACTTGCAAATATTTTTTGGCAGAAACATCATTGATGAAAAACATCTTCACTGTTTATCAAGAAAACCAAACTGAGATAGTTCAAATATTTTTTAAATCTATTCTAACAGAGTAAAATGTAAATGCTAAGAACTACAGATCTGATTTGTTTTTCACATAAAAACAACACCTTAAAGTTAAAATACTCAGTTTAATAAGAGATTTAACTTGCACTTACAATAAATACAAAATAAAAACTTCAAACCTTCCTCCAATGAAAAATCATATAACCCCAAGTTAGATAATAGTTCACAACTTTGACTCAGCTGATGTAATTATTGATAATATTACAAATATTAACAACTTTAAATTCTAGTCAAAATGTTTTATGATGTTTGCTCTTAACATACATTTGACATTCTTTAAAATAATGATGATTATGACAAACGTATATGTTTAATTAAAATACAAATTATTTTAAATCTTATTCTGTACATCCACTAAAATGTATATTGTGGAGTTTCTTGCTTCTATGTATCTTTCACTACTACATCGGCAACATTCCTCCCTGAATATCCACCCAGTGTCTTGTGTTTTTTGACACTCTCTAAAAATAAAGGTATGGCACAATTTGACATTTTCCCAGCTGAAAAGACTACCCTTTAGTGTCTGTTTGGACCTTTTGTGAAATGTTGAAACTGCCTTCCAGGTCAGAAAGCTAAAAAAGGACATGCATGTTGCTGGTGAAGATTCTCATTCATCCAGGTGGAAGGACATGCATGTTGATTGGCCCATTCAGCAGAGGCCTGTTTCACAAAGCAGATTTTCTGAAGTTTTCTTAACCAGAAATCAGGGAAACTCTGAATTTTCCATTTCACAAAGAGAGTTTACTCAGCCTCTGTTTCTGTTACCATAGTAACATCCTCCCCAGAGCTAACCTGCTCAGGAGCAGGTTTTCTTCAATAAACTCAGTGTCCTCTGTCTTCATCCTCCTTAAAGCCAATCGGGTTATTTTATGTCCTGATTTTTTTGTAGTTCTTTGCGAACAATCACATGCATCCAGACCTTATCCATCCTCCCAAACAGCATTACACAGACCCTATTTACCAGATATTTAACAGAACCGGATATTGGTGAAAGCATATTGGTGTATCTGATAACGACATTAGAGAAACAACCGCACAGTAAAATTCACTAAGTATTTACTGCATGATGTAAGACACAAATAAAATGAGGAGGTCCCTCACAAGATGATGCAAAGGTCCTACCCGTTAGAGCAACGTTTTTATACTTCATGTTCACTTGCTGACAGATGCACTTAATGCATATAATACCTTGATACCATTTAAGCGGTAAACTAGCTTTCTCCCTTTTAATGTTATAGTGGTTACAACAGGCAGGCCATTTTGATTGTCATTAGTTTGTCTGAATACGTATTTCTGATAAATGAAAGACACTGTTTTCCTTGTCAAAATGACAATTTCAAACCAAAAGACATTATTCACATCTAAACTAAACACTCTGGATGTCTAGAAATTAATTTCAGATCTCCATATTTCTGTTGTTACGGGTAATAATTTGTACTATTTTGATCACGAAAAAAAAGGATTTCAGATATAAATACATATTCAGTTCAGCTGATAAATATCAAAATGGACACCTAAAATTTGTAAACATTTCTGGATATATGAAACTTGATTCTTAGTTGTGCAATTTTGTTTTTTACTTTCTGTAATTCCGTTTGTGCTGCAAAAAATTTCATTTAGAATTCAGTTCAGACTAAAAATTTGATTTTGATCAGGAAGAAACCTATTTTAGTGATCCACAAATGGAACAACATAGAGGAACACTTTTATTAAATATTAAAACAGCCTGCCATATAGGACTTCATGTAAACTTATGCAATAACTCGAACAGCCATCTTCTCCTACACTATCTCCCTCTCCTTTGCAGCTGTAATAATATTTCTCTGTCTTTTAATTGTGACTCATGTAATCAGTGCTCTCCTGATAATGGCTTTTCATACTTGTCACATTAATACTAAACTCTGAGTGTACCTACTCAGAGTTGATTAAACTAACTCACAGCACCCTTTGGGAAACTGAAAACTCAGAGTTTCCAACTTTAGGCCAGATCAATTCAGACTTGAGGATTTGAGTCTAAGTTTGTTAAACCTGCCATCAGAAACGTCCCTCAGGACTTTCACTCGGCTCCCTAGTGGACAGAGATTAGTATTAATTTACTACTAGTAATCAAAGCGCAACGGCAAGTTAGGACAGCAGGGCCCCTCAGAATAAAAACAGGAGATGTTAAAGTTACTGTCACCATCAGTATGGCAACATCAACAGCTCTACTGCCAGACTAGGAATGCCCTGTTTTCATAAACTAAATACAAGTACCAACATTTGAGTACATAACAATAGTTATGTACTCAAATGACAGTTGGCAAGTTTGGGCTTCATTACATTTCACAGACAAAGATAAAAAAAAAAAAAAAAAACATGTATTATCAACAACAGATAAGGACAGGTCATCATTGCTAAGGTACTGAGTGAGCACCTTGAGCAGCAAGATTGTCTTTGAACTCTACTTTATGTTCTTTTAGATGTTATAACAAACTGAAACATTTAACGTGCTTTATTCCTACACTTGACAATTTATCTAAGCACAATCCCCTTTACTTTGGAAACGTCTCCACCTGACTGGCATAACCTCTTCACTGTGTTCTTCAGTTAAGGAATAATATCACACTTAATCTAAGGTGTTTCACATCTTATTTGATCCATCTTGCCAAAGTTTATATTGTGTTACTTTTTTCTGTGTTAGAGTATGTGTCCAAAGACTGATACTATCTATTATGGGGAAAATACCTTCATGAATATTGCATGGTATTGGACTGTCAGCAAGGCTGGTGTCTGTATCACAGGAAAAAAACATCTAGAAATAAGTAAACATTTCTTAAATTAAGTGTATTTACCCTTAATTTGAGTAGGTAAATGATATAGTTTGCCAATGAAATTAGTATTTTTACTCTTTAAAAAAAGATAATTAGATAATATGCACTTGAAATAAGACGATGCAATTGTGTAAATTGTCTTGTTCCATTGGCAAGATGTCTATTTTACTTCCTCAACCCAAGAACAAATACACTTATGTTAAGAAAAAAATGACATATCTAGATTTCGATTTTTTCCAGTGTATAGAATACTAAACATCTTACCTCCTCAAGTTGTTAAAAGTTTAACCGCTGTTGAAATTGAACTTTAATCATGCTTCTTTGCATTACAAAATGCTGGAAATAAATATTGTGTGCATCATATTAATAAGCAACCATAGTGCTTAATTTCTGGAGGGAAACTCAATGAAGGTTTTTTTTTTATTGGTGAAGGAGGGATCAGAGGAATCAATATTACTGGCTCTGTGATAATCCTAATAAAAATGTGTTAAATCTAAGCAGATGTTTACCCTTTTTTTAACATTGTTGTTTTTGCCAACAGTCCCAGAAAGATCCCATGCTGGTGGAGAAAATCATGAATGACCTGGACTCGAACAAAGACAACGAGGTGGATTTCAATGAGTTTGTGGTGTTGGTTGCAGCCCTGACCGTAGCCTGCAACGACTTCTTCCAAGAGCAGAACAGGAATGCTAAATAAATGTCTGAATACACTGTTAAACAAATGTAAATCTCAAATCTGTCGTTTAATCACTCAGTTCTTCTTGGTTTCATATATGAATATGACTTCTCTCACACTCTCTGCTTAAGATACAGTACCATAGAGTAGTTGCTGCTAATTAGTTTCGTGACATTTGCTTTTAAAATCACCGTCGTCATCTAAAACCATGTCTGTATATCCTGATTAGAGTTTTTGTCCCAGCAGATGCCCCAATCATTCCTTCTTCTTCAACTTTAAATGTCAAATATATAGATCTGATATTTCCCTGATGGTTCATTAGGCAGAGAACCTTTTTCTCCCCTTACCTCTCAGCTCCCTGGAGAAATGTTCTCCAAACCCCTGTGCTGTGCTAACCTAGAGTCATGGAAAAAAAAAAGTTCACTGTAAACATGTCAAGTGTTGCCTTTAAATGAATGTTCCACCTCTTGTTTAGATGCCTGCTTCTTTCCTGGTGAATCTGTAATCCGTTTCTCTTTTATTTATTTATTTTTTGTTTGTTTGTTTAAATAAAACCATATGCATTTGACTTAACTGCTAGAATTTATTCTTTCCAGCTGCTTGCCATGTATTAAGTTTCATCATAAATCTGGAATGGAAGCTTGTTGCATTGTCTGCTGATAGGACCTCATGGATTGGATTTTATCCGACAAATGAGTGTTTGTAGACTGAAGTGAGTTTATCTAAAAGCATACCAAAATAAAAGACAGGAGCGAGAGTATTGGAGCAGATAAACAAGAGAAGAAATTAAGCTTGAAATATTTTGCATGATTATAAAAAAGCAAATTCATTAAAAATGAATTGCATGATTCTAAAAAAATTGAGACACACATATGTGTTATTTAACAGGCTAACGTGGATTGTTTTAAAGAAAATATATGTGTTAAAACATTGGCTAGCTTGTCTCCTCTTGAAAAAGTTACATGACCAACAAGGGTTAGCTAGAGGAAGGTTTGATATGCTGCCTGACATAAATTGATCCCACGGCTTTGAATAAATAATGGGGGAAAAGAAAGGTAGACAGAATCTGACCAGCCTGTCTCATTCAGAATAACCATATCTTTTTTTTTTTTTTTCTTTATTGAACCAGGTAAACCCTGTTGAGATCTGATCTCATTTTCAAGAGGGACCTGGGCATTTAACATCTTGACAAGTGTTTACAGGCATGCCTATTGTCAATCAGCATAACTCACTTCTTGGTTTGTAATTTCTTTCCCATCCCACCGAATCTGATCAGAATACTATAGATAGATACTGTAAATTATTCTCTACTAGCAGGGGTGTCAAGCAACGAAGTACAAATACTACTTACTGTACTTAAGTACACTTTTTAGGTTCCTATGCTTTCCTCCATTACTTATTTTTTCTCCTACTTCTGACTTCTACTCATTGTATTTCCACATTTCTATCTCAAAGAATTTTTCGAAATAGTCGAAAAATTGAGCTTTTAATTCATATAGTGGCATCTGGCAGTTATTTTTTTTAAAGGTTACTTTATACTTTTATACTTTAAGTAGTTTTTGGAGCACATACTTTTTCACTTTTACTAGAGTAAAGAGGTCAAGTTGATACTTTAACTTTTACCAGAATGTTTTTAAACTGCAGTATCTATACTTCTACTTAAGTAACAAATGTGTGTACTTTTGACACCACTGACTATTAGATCAAGAACTTTTGGAACCAGTAGCATGTTCGAAGATTTTTTCTAAGTTTATTTCAGAATCAGAAATACTTTAATAATCCCAGAGGGAAATTACTTTTGTTACACTCTCCAGTTACAGTTTAATATATATATATATATGTATATATATATAACCAACCACACAAGATAATAAAGATATAAATATATACCCATATAACTCTTTTACAGACGAAGATTATATTTGAACATCCGCTGGGAGGAAGGATCTGCAGAGGCGCTCCTTTGAGCATCTGGTTATTATCAAAATGCAAAATTCAATAACCGATTCATTAAAAATACACTAGCATATTATAGCTTTATAATTTAGATCTTATCTTGATTGTGAAGTTGAGTTTAGTTGTTTTGATTGTGTTGGAGTTTGCTGATTAGCATTGTCTACAAGTGATCATTGTAAAAACTATCTGTTTCAAAACCCGTTCTGAGATAGGGTTAGTATCCCCTTTCAGTTATAACTTGTTCATTATACCTTTAGGTTTAAGAACTGTCCTTCCTCATTATTCAATCAACCTTATGTCATGCACTAGTGCTGGTTTAATTCAAGAACATAAAGCCACCACTCCCATACTTTAGGTTTGACCTTGTCTCACAAACATTAAAATCTCAATCTTTTCTAATTATACCTTGAAACTTTTTTCTAACCAGCTTAGCTGCAGCTTTCTGTCATGTCTGAAGGTAACAGTTATGAATTTATGTCCTAGACAAATTTGATCACTTGGTGTTAGATATTTGAAACTTTGACATACCTGTGTTGCAGTGGGACCATAATCTAAACCATTAAAACTAACTTTAAGATGTTCGAATTAAATGATGTAAAATCATTCTACCTTCAAAGAAATACACTGTTGTGCTTGAAATTAAAGCATATTTGCGTTTTAGAATTAACCAGTTAAAGAAACCATTTAAAACTCAATATTAATTTAATTTTTTTTTTGATGAGTGAATGTAAAGCCCTAAACACGATGTGCAGACTTCCCTGACATTGTTCGGGGCTAGAGGCGTTGTGTTTTTTACAGGGAAATAACTTCCCAGCTTGTACCAGTGATGCATGGCGATAGCAGTCCTGACGGACCACCTGGGTCCTGCTGCATCAGCCAAACTCCCTGATATGTCTTGCCCCCCTTAGGCGATGTTAATGTTCCCAGCTCAGCGAGGACAAAAGTGACTCGGGCTGTAAGGGTTTTCCTCTGTAGGTCCACTTCCCAAAATACCAAAAGCAGCTAATTTGCACTGACATTCTCTGTGCTGACGTAGAAGAAAACTATTGAAATTAAAGTGTGAGCGTGCTGCTTTTATCCAAGCAGATGGTGCCTGCAAAAACCCTCCTCATTACAATGCAATTTGTCTGTGATTGGCAGCAATCAAACTGGATAATCATCTGCAGGAAGATGCCATGAAGTAATTATGTTTTTGTTGCATTTATAAAAAGGTTGTAATCAATGCTGAGCATCAATTCATGATTTTCAGATGTGGATATTTATGTTCTCACTCTAATGATTGCTATCCTCTTCCTGTGGACGTCACGTGCAGAAAAAAGAGAAACCTCTAGTAGAGTTTCCTTTCCTTAAGATCATAAAGTTTGAGTCATGATTGACTCATTGCTTCCTGTGTCACTATAATCATCTTGTTTGTGTGGGAGAAAAAATGACTCCCATTACACAGAAAGATCACAAAACAATTCTGAAAACAATGTTGCAAATGCAACTCAGGTGCAAAAAACAAATCTGAAAGTCACAAAACTAAATATGCAAAAAAAAAAGTGAGTATACTTTTCCCCACAGAATGACTTTGGATGAGGGACACAAATACAGAAAAAGAGGACCCAAAAAGAGGGATTCTGAAAGGGTCAACTGAGCTCAAGAAAATTTTTAATAAGCTGAACACATTTTTGTGCATGCAGCTTAAATAACCACATTTCTGACAGTATGTGATGAAAATATATATACATATATACAATTACCAGACACTTTATTAGGCACACCCTGCCTTCACAAGGTTGAACCTGATGTTCACGACCCCCACTTTCTTAAGATTTCTTAAGATTTCACTCTACATTTGCCTGGTTGTGCCCTAAAATATGCTAGCCTCAAGTTTGCAGCTAAGTTTTAAAAAATGGTTTGGATTTATCTATTGTCTGTCCTTGGTGCCTTTAAAGGTGCTGCCCTTACATTAGTTAAGAAAATAAAGCGAAAAGGTTCAAGATGGGTAAGAGGAGGGGGAAAATTATATTTAAACAACAGAGCATCGCTGAAGCAACCACATGCACTTCAATTCAGATTCATACCAGGTAAATTATTGATCTTTAACTGCACTACCAAGGCTTCTTAAATACACTTAGTTTACAATATTCTAGCACTGTTTAGCCCGGTCCTCATTACATATATTCTATGATAATTCTTACAATTTTACAACACTTTACATATTCTTATTAATTACGGCACCTTTGTCTAATGTCACTTGTAATAAATCTAGTGTCCAAGGACAGGATAGGGCTTTGTGAATGCTAGCTTGTAGTTGGCCCCTCAAAGACCACCCATTAATTTCTGTGCAATCTGACCAAAGCGAGGCTGAATCCCTGGGACCACCTGAAGGTATTGGCTGTTAGTATTGTCTTACTAGGGGTGTGCATGGGCACTGCCCTTAGATTTGATTCGATTACGATTCACCAGGTAACGATTCGATTCAATTCGATTCTACGATGCATTGCGATGCATCAAAATCCCATTGACTTCTTAAAATCCGAAATGTGCCCAGATATCTGCTTTCCAAGCTTTTGGTGCGTTTTTAATTAGGCCTACCCGTCTATCGCGGTCATCTCCCTCCACCTCAGCCATCTTGATTGTTGTTGGTATGCCCCAGGAAGTAATTGAAACTTCACAACTTGTCCATTTGAGGCCAGAAAATAAACAGTGACATAATCGATTATGGCACGTTGCCGCATCGATGCTGAATCGTGCATGCGCCGCATTGCAATGCATCGCTGAATTGAATATTGTTGACACCCCTATGTCTTACCCTTGTCTGACAATTGTCTGACTATTTCTAGCTGCATTTCCAACTAGGAGGGAGATAATAAAGGCTACTTTGGACCTACCTAATGTCATGTTTAGAGAAGAACGACTCTGAATCAGGACAACCACGGAGACAGTTTGTTTGATTAAGGAAAAGGCTTTATTTAACAATGACGAGGAAATGGTATCTGGCAGGATCTTCCTGGGTTCTGCTTGGGGAAAAGAGTGATGGTGAATAACTGATCAGAGGAGGTGGGATGGTGGAGAAAGCTAAACTCACGGGGTTTGAGGTTGTTTGGGCTTGGAAGGATGGTGTCCTTGGTCCAGGTGCAAACTGAGACTCTCTCTCTGGTGATGGTGTGTAGGAAGGTGGACAGGCAGGTGGGCTCCTGGAGGAGGGCTGCAGCAGAATATGACCTGAGAGATCCAACAGATGAGGAAGGTCCAGGCTTGGAGGTTAAGTTGGCTGGGTTTGAAACACGCTGGTAGTGAGAAAGAACTGACGCCCCCCTCCTGGTCCAAGCTCCTTAAGTAGGCTCCAAATTAACAGAGATGAATCGCACCTGCTCATCACGCCCTGCGGAGAGAGAGAGACACACACCAGGCCTGCATTATGACACCTGAATGCTGAAGGCACAAAATGATTCTCATGGGGTGCAAAAAGCCTGACACTGACAGCAGGCGATGTAGATGCGGTAGTAGCCTTACTATGCAGGTCTTCAAGAATCTTATGCATCCCTGACTCGAGCAGAGAAATACATTGTTAGACGTCAGAGCTCCGTCTGCCAATGGGTCAATTTTTTGCAAGATTATTCTCTC